TTGTAATTTAGAAAGGCTTTTACATGAAAGAGAGTCACATGACTAAAATTATGTTGCAAATAATCCCTAATTAATCACTGAATTGGTAAGAGTTTATTTAAAGTATTGGTTTTCTTATAACAATGATTGACTGTAAGATAGTTCTACTAACCAGTAAAAATCAAGTGATACTAAAAAATAAACAATTATGTATTTACTTCATTAACTACTTAACAATGAAAATGAATTTAATGATGGTTATGTAAATAGGATGATTTTATTATATATATATATATATGAATAAAAGAAGGAAGTTATTTCTTTCTAGCTTGCCTTAACATATAACGGTTGTATTCATTTGAATATAAGTGTACTACTTGTTTCGCATCGAATTTGATTAAACTTTTAAAACATTATTCTGGATTTAAATAAATAAATGAGTACTCCTTCAGATCTTAAAGAAAATGTTATCTTTTCACTCTCTGAAATATCTGATACAATAAGAATACTGAGGTTTCACGCAACACTAACAACTTCTCATGAATGATCCAAACGTATGGATGACCTTGTTCATATATATGATCAAATAGAATAAATAAATTAAGCATTTAATGTCGTTCGTTCTTAGATGTCTGTTAATTAACAGTTATGCTATGTATTTCTGATAGAGAAATGTAATTGAGTAAGATGTGATATAATGTTGATAAATGTGTTACATATTTCGAAGACAAAAAAATAATTTACAAGCTTATATACCAACCAAATTTAATACGTTATTTTTTTTACAATTTAATCGTATTTCAGAAATGTTTTACGAATTTAGTGTCTACATATAAGAAAGTATGTTCTATCTCTGAAAAGCAAGTTAGTTAGTTAATTTAAAAAAGCATCTCATTTTTCAACAACCTGAAACTATGTCAGCTTATTTTACATGAGTAAATGTAACATGGAATAGAGTTTTCATGTACCAATAAGTATATAAATCCATATACATATAGAATTATAATGTTCTATGATTTATGTATATGGAAACATCACATTTCATTGTGTACAATCAATACTAAAATACATATATGAATTATGATTAGTTAATGATAGAAAAAGGAAAAAAAAAACATTTCTGAAATATTTTTTTTCTAATTTTCTACCCCTTATCCAATTGTTTTGTTTATTATGCTCAGAAAAAATTACTATTTCACTGTTAATCTCTACTCGTGTCAGTATTCAGACAATAAAATATTGTACACCTATCGTTCTTTTTTTTTTTAAATTTTAAAAATCAATATACTCAAATATATTATGTCATGGTAGCAATGTAGATTGTGTTGTTTACTTATAAACATGTGTGTTTCCTTTTATAAGTTAATCATTAAATTGTTTATACTGTTACTGGAGCCATCATTATAAAAGTCTTTATTTTATATAAGATGAAGAATTTAAAGCTTAGTCATGCTTAGAAATTCAATTTTAGAACAATCCTTGCAAAAACTTTTTCATTTGTAATTATTACATATTTGTCTGTTGTATTTTTTTTAAAAAAAAAAAGGCTTTATGTAAGTTGTTTTAACTTTAATTGATTGGTTGTTAAGGTTTATTCAATAGCTCATTTATCATTGTTAAAATTTAATTGAATCCCATTGGTCATATTTTCAATTTACTAACTTATCTACTTAAGTAATACTCTAAGTAAATAAAAGGCTGAAGTTTATGTAACTCAGTCGTAGCACTTATCAATATAATCATGAATCATATAGAGTTAAAATATCCTGTCAGTGTATAATATTAACTCAAAAATTTTGTTCTGATTGTTTACTAATAGTTGCTAACTTGGATAAAAACTTACTTTTATATGTACTATTGATTTACTTAAAATATGAAGCATTAATTTGATTATCAAATTATTGTTATAACAACAACAAAAAAAAACAATTTCGAAAATTCACTGTTGATTATTAATAATGGCAAGTCACAACTCTATACTGTTTAAAGTATTTTAATTATTTAAACAGTTGAGATCATGAGTCAATTAAAGCTAGACCAACATGGAAATCCTGGAAGCACTAGACGGCCTATTGTGAGACACCTCGGCAGTGCACATCCACGATCCCGCCACCCGCCAGATTCCAACCCAGGACCGATCAGTCTCGCAAGCAAGCGCTTAACCAACTAGACCACTGAGCCGGCTGGCATCCAACGGTGTTAATCTTTAACTTCAACTGATTCACGAAATTGAGCGACACATCCACCATTGTCATCAGTGAGTTACTATATCACAACTGACCCGGTTGAACTCCACTGGTCACTGCTTCTCACTAGAACTCCAGGGAATAGCTCTTGAAGCCAGTCACTAGTGAGCATATGTTGAATAATATCAGAAGTGGTTTTGTGGAGATTGTAGTAATTTCAACAGTTGAGATCACGAGTCAATTTAATTACTATTGATCAGTGTTAAATGTATCCAGCTGCTTTTATCTAATGATTATAAGCATTGTTCAATGAAATTAAAAAAATAACATTTATTACTCACATTTTGATGTGATAAGTAGAAACTTAGTTATGTTTTTCAGTTTACTCCATCAATGAAATAAAACATTTCACATTTTAACTATCTAGTTACAAGTCCTACATTGATTTGGTAACTCTTCGAACTTTTCACATTGAATGTTTTTCTCTTAATATAATACAATAATATATTCTGAAAATGATAATTATCGAATTCATGCCAGGTTACAGGCATAATCAATTTGATATAAATAGTAACATTAAATGCAGAGAAGAAACATGTGATATAAGATTGTTTTGTTTACTAGTTCAAAAATTGTTTAAGTAGTACATTTATGATATGTATTACAGCAATGCAATGCAATGCACCAGCTGGGAACTTTTAATTCTTCTTAAATGGACAGCCTGTTGATTTATGAACGATGTATTTAACGTTATTTCCTATGCCATAATGAATTAATGATAATTATCTACAATAATCATTTGAAAAATTAAATGAATGATTTTTAATAAATATAAATTTAATATATTACTTCATTATGTTCACTGATCTGTTGAATCTTGTAGACCTATACAAAGAAACTACTTTTAATGTATTAGTGTTTTATACAATGCATAATTGATTTTATTGCTTTTATTTAAAATATGTTTGGTTGTTTCATGTTGTGATTTCATTGTACATTTTCAGTGTTTGATGATATATTACGTAATATGATTAAAATATAAATATAATAATAGTAATAATAATACTATAATATATAGTAATTTTTGTGATTCAATACATTTACTAGTTTATAACTATAATTTCTTTAAAAAATATATGAATCATATAAAATAAAGAGAAAGAATACCATGACTTAAGCTAGACCCTCATGGAAAGCCTATAAGCCCTGGACAGCCGTTTAGTTCTAGCATGGGACTCCTCGATCTACTATCCCGCTCTCAGGATTCCAACCCGGGACCTATCAGTCTTCAGTGAGTTACTATCTCACAATAGACACGGTTGAACTCCACGTGGGCGTTGAGTTACATACTAGGACGAAACGGTCGTTCAGTACTTCCAGGTTCTTCATAGTGATCTAGCATTAATCAAATCATGACTTCGACTATTAAATTACTAAAATCTCCGCAAAATTCCCTTCTGGTATATTTATTTGTTAAATACTGAATTAATTAAGTTTTCTTTCAGTTAAAAAAAGAGTTCATAGTTTACTGAAGCCCAACTAAAGAAGATTAAAAAACAAGTGTTCAAATTCTTCAGATAATTTGGACTTTTAAGAGATGAAGACCTCAATTATTACGGTTTCAGGTGTTTAAAAGTGATCTGTAAAATTAGATCCAAAAAATTTACTTCTAAGTTACCACCAAAGTTCTTACACCTATGTTCATAGGTATCTTGAAAATGAAAACTTCCATCATCCCACTATTTTAATGATATAATAAAGTTCCTGTTTAAAATGGTGGGCACATATATGCACTTTTGTATTCTGAAAAATATATGCTATTTTAACTTAAGGTTTGCATAAAAGTTTCACTCACATACTCGTATTGGATAAATAGCTTATTACAACTTTAAGAACCTGACTATAAACATGATTTTATTAGTAGACTATAATTATATTTCTTCATAAGCACTGTGTAAACCACGCGTCTAGACTTTTTCAGTTTTTTCTACTACTCAAAAATGACGAGCCTGATTTTTTTGAACATATATTTATTTGGATTTAACTGTCAAAATATAGTGACTTTTCGTAACTTTTAGCTGGAGTGTACTGACAATTCTACAGAAGAATGAGGATCAAAATTAGGCTATTTTTGATCAAATATACTGATTGTACAGTTTCTACTTAAAGTGCATCTTACATTTTTCTCTTTTAAGTGATTTTGGAGGTCCTTTTTGTTGCGTTGTTTCTGAGTTTAGTAAGAATAGATATATGCTTGAAAACAACATAAGTCATAACTTAAATATGTGTTCCTTTACTGATCCTTAAAAATGAATGATATTTATGGAAAAATATACCCATGGCTAAAATACAACTCGTTGAAGACAGAAGATAAAAGGTTTATTTGATATAAAAAAGGTTGATTAAAAATAATATTTCAGGGCGTTCATTCCTTTGCATTATCTATTAATGAAAATTGAATATATATATATATATATATATATATATATATATCATTTAAACAAATATTATAATCAACTAATCCGTAAATCAAATAGCCAGAATACAGTCGAATATCGTACTGAACTAGCATCATAAAGAATTAATTCATAGTTTCATGCTTAATTTGCCAACAACACATTTTTCCAAAAAAATTGAGCTAATGTTTTCGGATATTCTTTTAAAATCATCAGATAAAATCACTGTTCGTTTTACATAAGATAACACTGACCTTCTAAAACAAAACTACGTATTCATACCAATGGAAATGCTAAAATTTCAATTAGTTTATCATTTTAATGACATAATCTATTTCACGAAACCCTCATCATTGTATTAACTATATATTTCTTTCAGAAATTCATGGCTTTGAAATAGGTAAAATAGATTTTAAACCAGAATTGAAAGCGAATCATGGCCAGAATTTTACTCAAATCACATGTCGTATAAATCGTCCAAAACCAAATGCAGAAGTCTACTTAACATGTCCTGCCTTAAGAGAAAGTGCAACTCATGGAAATTGTTACCAAGGCTGTCAGCCGACCAATCCTTGCGTTCACTCAACACAGTATCAGTCTGGATGTGTACCTCATGACCAAACAGTATTTTGTCAGAAAATTGAATTTCCTAATGGTACTGTTGTATTGAATTTAAACGTGGACCGAACTGACAGACGACTGGCAGGTTTATGGTCTTGTACACATGCTGGTCTGGAAAGTACCAAGTTTGAGGTAAGATATTTTTGTATATCAGCTATATGAATGCTAAATGAATAGTAATACACAATTCACGGTATGGTATACGGTGTACGGTAATTCATGGAAGCTTATTATGGTAATTGAATCACACAAATGTCATTCGGTTTCTAAAATTTCACTCGATTAACGACATAACATATTCATGCTGCGCAGCAAGTATCTATCATTTCATACATTTCATCAAACACTTGGAATTCGTGAGAACATTCATTTCTTATTTAAATGAAGCAAAAAAGACTACTTGAGTGGTTTACCAACCAAATTTACAAATAAACCTTTATAAAAAGATTATGAACAATAATTTGATGAAAATACATAACAAATGTTGTACTTCCACAAATATTACAACAACTTACCCGTATTACTAATTAAACAGATCAAACTGCAAACATTGTGAAAGCTATTAAATGTCATATTAAAAAAACTTTCTACATCTTATTTATATTTCTATTTAACGTCTAAGCATAATATTAGGCCGATAGTGTTGCTTTATGAAAGGTTTTAACCTTCACCTAACTGTACACCGTAACCATAAATTTTATCTTCACCTTTTGTCTAACGTGCAACTTCTCTTGGTATCCTTTACCATAGACGAACAATAGTTGAGAATCTATTAAAAAATACAGAGCTCTGAGCATTCGTTTCATTTTATTTTGCAAATCCACAACAAATGATATTCATCAATTCACATAACACTAAACTCATCACTACTTGGATCTCTTCTCGAAACTCAAAATAAAACAAAGTTCTGTAGCGCATTTTTTAAGTTGTAGCCACTATTTCAATATAATGTGATCTTGAGTCTACGTCTGATTCCTGACTTAAAGCCATTTACAACTTTACTCACGGGGAAAGTGGTTTACAAAGCTAAACATAAATTTCCATAAAACATCCAGTTCAATAATCTTCAACTTGATTTTTCACATTAATGATACTTCTATGATTTATCCAATCAAATGAAATTTATTAACTTTAATTGTGTATAACTTTTACATTAGAAATGTTACCAGCTTTGATGTAAATTATTAGATGAGTTCCCTACTTTTATGCTATGAGCATCATTTTAAATGTTAGTACTGTAAAATTTTTGAGAATTTAAATAAGAAATATAAATCTGAGACAAGTTATTTTACCATAGAAAACAGACAAGGGATTAAAAACAAATGAAATATTTCTCGGTTACCTGAAGTTTAAAGATTCTTTGTTCAGTTATGAAATTTAGGGACCCATAATGTTTCAGTTTAGAAACACTTGTATAAGATTATAAGTTGTGATTTATATATGAAAATCTAATATTGAAAACCAAGAGTAATTAGACTTGACTTTTAACTATCAACAGATTGAGTAACAAATTTAAGTCGATGTCTTCTAAACACTGAAGAGATCAACATTTTGATAAACAAATTTCCATACATGTTTTCATTCACGTTCTATGCTGAAGGTAGGGGAGAATATTTTTATCCGGTTAATGTATACGAAAATGTAATTAACAAGCTATGCGTTATAGCTATGAAAATAAATGATATGCTATTGCTCTCTATAGAATGTAAACCCAATGAAGTTTTCTACATCAACTGATATAATACGGAGAACAATTAAATAATTAGTGTACGGCTCGATGGACATCCATGTAGAGTGAATCCTAGTTTTCAATGATTATGTAGTTGATATGGAATCGTGACAAGAGTTTTTGTTCAAAATAAATTATGTTTTGCCCAAACTATCAAATCACGTATTAGCACAAAAAGGATATTAATCAAAAGAACTATGGGTGAAAATTGTATCTTTAAATGTTATATCCTCTTTTTGTACTGAAGGCTAAATTTCTGTGAAAACTAGAAGCAATCTTTTGTTTTAAGATGTATGATTTTTGAATTATTCCAATAATTCTAAAACATTGAGTGTAAAACGATATTTCTAAAAGTTAATTACTCTCAGGTTAATAGGTGGCATCGGATGGAAAACAAACATCAATATGTAAGAGATAATGTCTTTTTTTAAAAAAGGAGCACAAAGACAGATTCTTATTTTTAAACCAACTTCCCAACAAATGATTAAGTTATTCTCACACATCTATGATTCATCATCAGGAACCAATCCTAAGCATCATAATTCAGCAATGAACGCAAGCCTTTAAGTCAAAAGTTTGATTCCAGCTCTTGATGTAATCATACCTAGTCATTTTGCGGAAAAATATGATCTACTCCATTATGTTATAAATCATACTACCATATCAGAATATTAACCACTTTATTCGATATCCCAGAGTGAAATAAGTTATGAACACTATACACTCTTATTTATGAAAAAGTTGTTCCGCATGTTGGAATAACCTGATACCAAAAGAGAACAACTTTAATTGAACTTCAATTGGTGTTGTTTCACTTGTATTTTCCTATTGTTATTTAGGACTGCAATTGATCAGTCTTCTGTTGGCATAGGTACATCTTGTTCGAATTGCCCCGATATAGCCTTAAGTCACAAGCTTTTTAAGCAGAGATGCATAGTGTCTAGGAGTGGAGTCCAGTTTGATGCGCATTTCGTCCTATTTGGGACACGCCAGTTGGATGTACCTGCACCCGAGTTGATGTTTACCCTGGGACTCGAACCCAGTACCATTCGCTTCAAACGCCATCGCGTTAACCAGGTACATCCAGCTGACGTCCTGGATTCCACTGCTAGCCACTATCTATCTGTGTTTAATTGAACTGATACATATTGTTTAAATGTATAATTTAAGAGTGTTTATTGGAAATCATTCTAAATTTATTTTGTTTTTCTTGTTTAAAATCATAGATAGAATTAAAAAGCTATTCAATTATGAATGAAGTTAGTCCACTTCCAAAACCGGTGGTGAAACAAGAGAAACATGACTCAGGTACAAGTGAGTACAACTGACAAATTATCAATTTTTTATTAAGTTAATTAAAAATTATTATTATCCCCAAAGTAATTGAACTTGAGATTTACAATTAATCTGAATAAAATTATAAATATTAACCTGAATTATACCCAGACCCTTTAATATTAAGAAAAATAAACAATCGAAATTAGGTAAAAATTGTTCTAGATTATGGTAACTTCAAAATTTCCAAACTAAAATTAACAAACAATTGTCTGTGAAAATCACCCTTAATATTATCAGTTTAAGCAGAAATGATAAACCTCCCAGTTCATTAAGTTTATGTGAATTGATTGAAGTGAAGAACATATGTCGCTGTAACTCAAGTCTCCATACAAAATCATCCTCCGAAAAACTTCCGGATGTAGGCTTATATTATAGGATAATTCGAATATGTACATTACAACGTAGATTTAAAGTATCATCAAATAACTGGTGAGTACCACTTTATTATCAGTAGCGGCTGAATTAATGGTTACCTGGAACCACTCAATCAGTACTCATGTCCAATATGTAGAGATTAACATTTTCAATTGAGATCATGAACTGATCAACGTTAGACCATTATTGAAAACCTGGACGAGCTAGACGGCCTTTTCATCTTGGTATTGGACTTCTCATCAGTACGTACCTGCGAGCTCACACACGGGACTCGAACGCATGATCTCAATTAGGACTCAACGATCTCCACAAACCTATATTGATAATTGTCATTTTCAATGTTGTTGACCCTATTATTATCCTTACGAACAATAAAGGCGCTATGCGCATACTGACGGAATCCATGAGACAAGATCAAACCTATATATTCTTAGAATATTGTGGAAAAACACAAACTAAAAACATTCCCATAAATTGATTGTCCTGGTATTTTAATCGAGGAATACACGTCTAAATGTGAAGAAAAACTAAGTTCGTCTATTTAAATGCTTCTGAATGTAGTCAGCTAGACTAGTCTATAAGGTTTGTGATGACTAGAGAATCATAGGTTTGCTTTCGATATCTAGAGCAGAAGTACACGTATATTAATTTGACTGATTTTATAGAGTTAGTTACGTACTCAGAGGACATTATTTCATATCCTCGTGAATACATACTACCATGATTGTAAAAAATATTAAATTTATAAATAGTATAGTCTTTTCTCATATATTTGATGCTGAGTATACCTCAAATCTACAGGAATTATTGTCTTACATAAGAACTTTCGTCTAAATTTGATCGAATAGTTTCACAGTATTTGGGAGCTGAGTTTATGTGAGACATTAAAGAGGAAGGATGTATTTATGAAATTTCAACGAAAGAATTTGAAGTAAATCAAACTTACGTATGCACACAATCTGTCATCTTAACACTTTTCATTTCACACCACATGTCTCTTACACACTAAAGCAAATATCTACTTTAAACATTGTTAACGTTGATTGAATGACCTTTTCAGTGTACAGTGAACCGGAGAACCATGTACCTATTCATATTCGATAATTTTGATGCTTCATTATATTTCCTTGAAAAAGCTTGGACCAGATTGCCAGGAGAAACGTCGGATTTACTTCAAATTCATTCGCTAAAATTTTACAAATACATTCTTCCTCTCGAATTATTGTCATTTGTATAACAGATTTTGAATAGTTTACAAAAGGTTTACAATAATATCTCTTATAAGTTATAACGTTCATGAGGATCCCTGATATATGTCCAATAAAGTAGATCTAGATACTTTGGTTCACAATAAGATAGTCCTACTTTTAGTCAAATTGGTTACTTCCATTTCACGTTATACACACTTACACAAAACCCCTATTATTTTCTTAACTAGCCTCACGTCATCTTATGAAATAATCTTAATATCCATTGGTATTATTATTACAGTTGATCACTTAATGTGAATATGATAATTTAACGTTAAAACTGAGCAGTTAATAAGTCAATTTTTATTTCTTTTCTTCTTATTATCATTTCAAGCCCGAGAACTAACTGATTCATCCATAAATTAATCATTATGAAAAGTGAGATTTGACCTGATAAGTAGTTATCTTATTTACTTATACCCATCGTATTTCTTTCATTTCAACTTCTTTAATCTGACTAATTCTTAGTTACATTTCATTTTTATTTTTCAAGACAAATGGTGTACACTAACTAAACTTACTTGTTTACTGATCTGCATAACATTGGTGTGGTTTGTTAGCGAAACAAAACTAGACATTGTGAAAAGTTTTTTGATATTTGAATCAAGATCAATATGGTGTCTAGATTTGAGTTCAACACAACTTGAAAAAAAAAACAGTTGAAAATGTCTGTTAAAATAATTGGAATAACATTTAATTCTTCCTTCGTGATTATTGGTCAATGTTTAGTCATATAGGTGATCAATGCCAAAATTTATCATAGAGTAAAGGATTTTCTTAAACATTCATTAAATAATTCAATTACTGACGATCGCCTTATAAACCTCTTGATAAGATGGTGGTTAGGGGTAGTGAACAAGAAACCCTGGACCTAGGCTTCGTGCTACTTGGCATCCGTCAGCAAGGTGTACCTGTAACCTTGAGGGAGTTGATGCTGCTTGACGGATAAGATCCCGTGTCACCCAGCTTCACAGTCAGAGACGTTACCACTACTACAGGGTTTCCTGATGACTACCTCCAACCACCATCTTATCTCAACATAGTGCACACAATATCGAGTCAACCAGACTAGTGGCTACATTGAAACTTAGTTGATAGAATTCGATCTGCACTAAGAAGTACCTGGCACACATGAAATTAATCACCACCCAGTGATCAATCAATTGTGAAAACTCTTGATTTTAAGCACACCCATGATCATGTGATCTTTTCATTCATAATAATACTATATATTTATGATGGCAAAAATAATTAAGATTTTATAGCTCAAAATATGAACTTCATTTAGTAAAACAATATCACAACTAATAATGATTAAACTGAGAACATTACAATTAATCAGTTAATCTATTAGGACAGCACATATCAGCGAATAATATTGTCTTCAAGTAGATTGTCGTCATGATTTGCACCAATAAACACGAATGTTTATATGAGTATATGAAAACATTAAATAGATCAGAGCAGTTTATGAGATGTTAATCAAAATGGACTAGATTGCATAACTACACTTTATCATCAAAAAGTACAAATTAATAGTAAAAGGACAGGCGTACTAGTTGTGATAGAAATAACAAAATAATCAATAGGTCAACATTGGAAGTAGGTCAAACTTGGATAAAAAATTATCTAAAATTAGGTAATAAAAAGTGTGTACATAACCAGATGGTGAGGAATATAGACGAAAGTTGGTAAAGAGTGATAAATAAATACAATATATGAACAAATCAATAAAACCGTTTAATAGGTCATATCCAGCTAAGGAACATACTGTGCTCTCACGAATTTCTTTTAAACACATAAACTAGGGTTATGTAGGGCCGAAAGCGAACAGCATTGGAAAGTAACTATGGTGTGAGATATATCACTCAAAATGATTCAGTTATATCAACCATCTGACCACCGTCAACCAGGTGTCCCAAGATAGAGTTACATGTTGTTTCCATCATACTCTTTCCGAAACGAACTGAGAGATGTCCACTCATCCATCAGTTAAGTTCCCTGGTAGTACCTCCAATATAGCTATCTCCACTAGAGCATTGTAAGAGGCAAACCCAGGTAACTGATCTTTTGGTTGAGTAGATATCACTGGTCTACTAAATAATCTCAATGTATGACTAACTGCATAAAAAGTCGTCACTAAACTACCAAGCAGCGGAATCCCCGCTGAACTGTAGTTATGGGAAAATGGGGTTTCTTACAAGCGGTTCATATCTCAAACCTTTTGAAGAAATTTTTGTACAGCCTATTTCCGTAAATATTTCATTGATAAACGCAGATTGTTTTGCTCTCAGTAGATTTCTTTTGTAGTAGATAGGTGTTAAAATATAAAAGTGTGTGTATTGACCAGCAAAGGAGCTCTTTTTATACACGCTTCTGTGTACACCTGTCCTTTTACTATTAATTTGTACTTTTTGCTTATCATGCGTAGTTATTCAATCTAGTTCATTTTGATTAACATCTCATAAATTGTTTTGAACTATTTAATGTTTTCATATACTCATATAAACATTCGTGTTTATTGGTGTAAATCCTAATGATGATCCACTTGACGATGATATTGTTCGCTTTCATTTGTTAAGCTTTCACAGAGGGGATCTTGAATATTTTAGAATTAATTGATTACCAATTGATAGAAGACAAAAATAGGGTCAGTTGTGATATAGTAACTCACTGATGACAATGGTGGATGTGTCGCTCAATTTCGTGAATCAGTTGAAGTTAAAGATTAACACCGTTGGATGCCAGCCGGCTCAGTGGTCTAGTTGGTTAAGCGCTTGCTTGCGAGACTGATCGGTCCTGGGTTGGAATCTGGCGGGTGGCGGGATCGTGGATGTGCACTGCCGAGGTGTCTCACAATAGGCCGTCCAGTGCTGAGGTGTCTCACAATAGGTGAAGCAGCCGTCCAATGCTTTCAGGCTTTTTATGGTGGGCTAGCTTCTATTGACTCATTATTTCAAATAATAAAATATCTAGTTTAATTGAACATATTTACAATATGTAACCCAGCAGTCACGTGTTTTACTAGCCGATAATAATTAAATAGACTAATTATAGCCTACTAATAATCCAGCATACGCATTTTCCCCAACTTTTTCATTGTGATCTTACACTCATTATCACTTGGCAAATCGAGTTTTGTGAATCTGAATTTTCTATTAAAACTTTTTAGTTTATTCAGATAGAAGTATACTTTGGGATTACCTTGGTGATATCTGAAGCCAAAATAGCACAGAAGTCATTTTCTTAAACAGAGTATGGAAAATTTCCGACTTATCTCAAATCTATCACGATAACCAAATTTCTGAAATATGACGCTGAAATTTAGTTGATTATTTGCTGTTGAATTATTGCGCTGATACCAACTTACTCTCAACGTTATTGAAGATTATGAGTTTTATCTTTGCAAATTTTTTACCATTGATAACTTGTTGCTCAAAACGTTTTCATTTCCTCCCTTTACTCGTTTCTCATTCTTTTTTGATATTTTAATCATTACTGGTATTCTCACTGTTCTTCACTGTATCTCTTCGTCATCTTTTCCTTTCTTGGTCCAGAATGGATTCACTTAGACTGATGTATTATTTCTACAATTTCTAAACTATTTTCTAAGTTTGTCTACCCAACTACTGACGAATGGTTTCGTGGAAACTTGAGTATATTTTATCACAAACCATTAAGAATCAGGAAACAAGGAGCATTTGTCCTTTCCTGGTTCGAAACCTATTGGCATTGTCTACTAACGATGTTATAAAACTCATGACATGTGTTTCCCACAGAAGACAAGAAAATTTATGGCTCCTGACCCAGAATTCAGTAATTTACATCTTCATTTTTAGTTAATGTGTAAATTAGTACGATTTCTGCTTTTGACACTGATAAATTGCTTTTACTCTGTTGAATTAGCTAACTATACAGGTCACAGCATCTCACTAAAACTTTGAGATGGTCATCTTGAAACTATCTAGTAAAGAGTTCATGATAATGTTTTGGAGATTTGGCTTGATGTAATGCATTGTATATCGTGACTTTAATGATCAAATATTAGTATTCATGAATACAATTATCCAAATGAGACCAAAGACGATTCCTAATGTTGTAACACTTTTAATAGTTAGAATGGTTATTAGTAATAACTTTAGCACTCTCTGATATCAAATTACAGGAACTGCACTTTAATTACCCATTAACTGAAACACCCTAAGTTCAACAGTTTACTATACCATTATTTAGTTCGTTTCAATGAAGCATCCTTTCAATTTTTTAGCACTTATTCTTCCTTTAAGCTTCAAAGTAAGTACAACAAATTGTCTTTTGTGTTCACATTATATCTTAAAACTGGGAATGCATGATTGTCACACTATATTGCAACTTGATTTTAAAATTTGCACTATTGTTTATCAACTTAGTGGTCTAAAGTTAGTGTTCATCTATAAGTTATTGGTATTTATAATGAATTAGCCTGGATTGATATAAATATAAGAATTATGAGGTTATCTGAACTAGGATTATGGTATCAGACAACAAACAATATGCTTGGAACTTTCATTATTTTTATTTTTAACAAAATTTAAACATTACGAAATGGTATTAATAGATTAAAAGTAGTGCTTCATCCTAATATTGTTTCACAAATGATAAGAATTTATTACTAAAAGTGTTAAGACAGACTTATTTAATATATTAATTAACTCAGTAAGTATATTACCGTACAGGAAACCTGGGTATCTCCGTTCTAAATGTCACTACTGTCAATTTGAAATGTAATTTTTTTAATGTTTAAAAATATAGAAATTGCAATTCAACAGTTCCCAACTAACAGTTACGGAATTCTTTGACAATGAATTATTTGTAAGTAGTATCATAATGACTTAAGTAATCTGTACATTTGTTCTGTATGCTGCTGTCTTTTTATATCTCGAGGTAGCTCAAAACAAGATTTTTCTATTCCTATTCTATAAGCTGCAATTCTAAGCCTGCGAACATAATTCGTATAATTAGTTACTACTATCCTATAATCCTAAATCGAAATGATGAACACAGAAAAATAAATATGTTAGTGATTAAAATTTACAGTTATCGGTTATACTACTGGTTTTCAATGACAATTTATTAAAACTTATATGTTTCACAAGCATAAATGTTTATACTACTGAATTATTTTTCCCTGTATATTTAAATCACAGTACTCCTGAATGATTTCAAGATAGATATTTACCTTCACAAAGCTCTACTTTTAAGCGATTCCGGTCACTAATATGACTATGTATAGTATGTATAGTATAGAATTTAAACGAAGTATATCGAGAACTGAGTGCCATTGTCGTTTTACGCAAGCCAAGACAGCTTGTTGAAGTGTATGTCTGAATTTACTCGACTTCAAATTTTTGATTAGTTGGCATTATTAGTGATTCGTCAAAATGTTTTAAATTTCGGGTTTAATATTTGAAGCCACTAGACACCGACCGCTAGACTCAGGTCCCACTTAGTTCTGATCCTCACTAAAGTCTATTTCCAATTATCGAGGTGGAACGTAAACTTCTAATAAGATTCCAAATTTTGTTGCAGATCTTATGCATAAACTATCCAGTTAATAAGTGAATCTTGTTAGGATAGAGTTATAAATGTGAATCAGTCACTGAATAAAAATTGATCGCACTCGTGAGTTCTTAACGTTGATCAGATCTTAAATTTAGTGAATGGGCGATTTGTAGATGAAGTTATTGTCGGTATACTACAAAACATAACTAGTATTAAATAATGTTGTTTTGCATGATTAAACTGTGAATGAATCCGGAAAAGGATAACAGATAAGGTGCTCAGCATTTTCAATTCCTCTTTTTTATAAATCCCTCTCTTTGAGTTAAGATTTCATTGAAAAGCGTTGCTAATCGGGTCGGTATTCAATAATTTTTAATACATCACACCATGTATCCATATATTGTCTCACATGCTTTGATGTGAAAGAATTGAACAATCTTTACCAAACCATGATTAAATTATTTAATAAAAGTAGAGTTATAATAATTTGCTCTTTCCAGTTTTAATTAATTCACATAAACTTGAACAAGATTCAGTTTTTATACTAAGAATATCTACATACTAGTGACTAGGATTCCGGACAAATTAATCTCAAATAATCAACATACAAATTTTTTACGCTGTCTTTGACATTAAACAACTAACCCGTAATATTCATTTTGTCAATGAAAGCATTTCAGTTCAGTATAGTAAACTCATTTTTCCCACATTTTAACAGAGGCTATATATTTATTAAAATGATTTGAGCAACAATAGAAGGATACTTCTTTGTGTCTTCAAAACTAGATAATTAATAAATGCATAAAAATGTCAAAATGATTAACTATAAATAAAATTGACAGTAAAATAATGTCAGTAACACCTCTGAATGATAATGAAATGTAATGAATTAACTAAGATTCGCAATTAATTACAATTATTGAAAATGATGTATTATGTTACTATATATTTATGTTTATTTGTTTATCTACAGAGATTTTACAAAACACACACTCTAGTCAAAATAATTTGGTCAACAATCAATCAAGTAAGTAAAACTTTATTTGATGGTGATACGAAAACAATTCCTCCTGTAGCTCTTCTAGGGCTACTGCCGGTCCTAGGCTTAAGTGCAGGAGGAGTGTTGTGCATGGGGTCAGCAACCCTATCCCGTATAAAAAAACCTTGCCAAAAATACACTAACCAGAAAAAACAAGTCATACCATTTAAACTCTTCCCTGCGATCTTCGTTCAGAAGAATTATAACGCCTCATGGTGAAAGACTAGATTCTTTGGAAATCACTAGACCGATGCCCGTTCTAAAAACCAGAGCAATAATTAATATAGGCACATGGAACGTCCAGACAACGTGAGTGACCGGGAGGACCAGCCGAATAGCTAAGGATATGAGGCGATGCAACTTGACAGTGTTCGGAACCAGTGAAACCCGTTGGACCCAAGACGGACAGAAGGGAATAAATTCGGGAGAGATGCTGCTGTATTCCGGTCACGAGTAAGAAAACGCTCCACACAGTTAGATAGTCATTTTGATGCTGTCCAAAGAAGCACGTGGTGCACTCATAGAATGAGAATCTCAAGGATCAAGAATCATCAAAACATCATTCAAAACAAAGAAGGAGGGAATCATAATCAGTGTTATCCAAAGCTATGCGCCCACCGATGATGGCAACGGCGACGATATAGACTAGTTTTTTGAGAGGCTGCAACCGATCATAGTGAAGTACCCAGGAGAAGAACTGACAATCATGAATGGGATACTTAAACGCCGAAGTCAGAATGGAGAACATCGGATATGATGATATCAGGAGACACATGGACTGACTGTGAAAAAGGAACGAGAATGGTGACAGATTTGAAAATTTATGTTCATTCAACAAAATGTTTATAGATGGCAAAATATTCTCCCACAACCACATACACAAAGGTAGATGGGTATCGAAGGATCACACTACAGAGAACCTTATCAACCATATTTGCATCAATAAAAATTCAGAAGGAAAAAATGAAGACGTAAGAACGATAAGAGGAGCTGACACAGGTTCAGATCACCACGTGGTGGATGTCAATATAAAACTAAAGCTAGAAAAGCGCTGGACAGCTTGGAGAAACAGCAGTACAAAGTTCCAATACAGCCATCCTTCGAGATACTGACAAACCCAACGAATTCGAGACGGCTCTCAACAACAGGTTCCAAGCCTGATAGAATCTACTGATTTAAGAACAAACCACTATGAAGGACAATTGAAAAGGTATCAAAGAAGAACTAACTTCAACAAGTCAGGAGGTGCTGGGTCGCAAGAAGCATCATCATAAGGAATAGATCTTTATCGAAACCCTGGACAAGATCCAAGAAAGGAAGAACAAGAAGACAATAATTTATAACAGCCGAACGAGAACAGAGAAAGTCAAGGCACAATCTGAATATACTGAAACAAACATGCAAGTGAAGAGGAGCACTAGAGCTGACAAGCAGAAATAAGTGGAAGAGCTAGCAACGACAGGGGAAAAAGCTGCAAGAGAAGGAAATATGAGACAACTACATGACATGAAGAAGAAACTAGTACGAAACATAGTAAACCAGAGAGACCAACCAAGGACAAAGAAGGAAAGCCAATCACTGAGATTCGAGAACAGAGGACTGGATGGGTAGAAGATTTTGAAGAACTCTTGAATAGACCAGCCCCAATGAACCCACCGGACATCAAAGCAGCACCAACAGACCTTACTATAGTTAGCACTTCACCAACGATCGAAGAAATCAGGATGGCCATCAGACAAATCAAGAGTGGGACAGCAACTGGATCTGACAATATACCAGACGGAACACTGAAGTCACACATAGAGATAAATGCAAACATGCTCCACGTTCTATTCAGAAAGAGTTGGGCGGAGGAACTAGTGCCGACATACTAGAAAGATGGACAATTCATCAGGATACCAAAGAAAAGAAATCTGAATACATGTGAGAACTACAGAGTTATCACACTACTATCGGTACCAGGAAAAGTTTTCAACAGAGTGTTGCTGAACCGGATGAAAGGCTCAGCAGACGCCCGACTTCGAGATCAACAGACCGGATTCCGTTAGGACCGGTCGTGCATAGACCAAATCGTGACACTACGATCATCGTTGGACAATCAGTTGAATGAAACTCGTCACTATACATCAACTTCATTGACTATGAGAAGGCGTTTGACAGTGTGGAAAAGAGGACTATATGGAAACTTGTTCTACCCCATCGTGTACCTGAGAAGATCGTTAGCATCATCCACAATTCATACGATGGACTACACTTCAAAGTGGTGCATGGAGGACAGCTGACAGACTCATTCCAAATGAGGACCGGTATCAGAAAAGGCTCCTTACTCTCCTTCCTCTTTCTTCTGATGGTCGACAGGATTATGAAGACCTTCACATCTGAGGGAAAGCACGCAATACAATGGACATCTCGGAATCAACTAGAAGATTTGGACTTCACAGATGACCCGGCCCTTATATCCCAAACACTTAACAGATGTACATGAAGACAACTATTGTAACAACTGGCTCTGCATCAACATACACAAAGGAAAAAGCAGGATCTGATGTAGACGTTAAGGCGAGGATTGGTAATGCAAGGGCCTCATTCCTACAGTTGAAGAACATATGGAACTCAAAACAACTGTCTACCAACATCAAAGTCAGAATCTTCAGTACGAACGTCAACACAGTACTTGAAGAACTACCACATCCATCATCAAAAAGGTAAAACTTTTTACTGTCCATTAACTGTCTACCCAGGATACTCAATGTCCGTTGACCAGATACCATCAGCAACAGCCTACTTTGGGAGAGGACTAACCAACTTCCAGCTGAAGAGAAAATTAGGAAAAGATGTTGGAAGTGGATATGACATACATTACGGAAATCACCAAACTACATCATGAATCAAGCACCAATTTGGTATCCTGAAAGGAAATGGAAAATAGGAAGGCAGAAGAACACACTACTTCGGGAATTGGAGGCAGACATGAAAACGATAAATAGCAACTGGAAAGAATTTGAAAGGGTTGCCCATGACATGGTTGGATGGAGAATGTTGGTAGGCGACCTATGCTTCGCCATGATGAGTGACAGACGTAAGTAAATTAGTACGTGATACAAAAACAGAATTCTAATTAATCATGAGAAGTGTGACCTTCTCTAGAGTCTTCTGTGTATTCCGTTTTGAGGAATTAACTTGACTTTTTAAAGTTTAGTATTTATCAAATGATTTGCATCATCCAGCACCTATAGGACATTAATTCATCTTTACCATGCAAATTCAGTTTTCATTTTAAAAAGTCTGCCTACTAAATTTGGTGGTTTGAATTTATTAACATAGAAAAACTATCAGTATCCAATACAATACAATTAACATTGGTTCTGTCTTGCTACGATAATAGTTCTTGTTGAACAGCATAAACATATTTAACAAAATAGTCACTAGAAAGACAGAGTGCCTGTCATTCACAAAGCTGCTACCGGTAATTTAAACAACTAACCTACCGATAGCATTGAAAGATGGTTTTACATTACTGTTAACTAACCGAAGTTAGACATGTCAACCATTAAATGACCTCTCCTTAGTCTAAAGTTAGATCACTCGATGCCAGACCTGATGTCCTTGTGTTTGACCTTCAAAGGCGTCGTAAATATACGCTGTTGAGGAGTCTCACTATGGAAAAGAACATCTAATACCACCTATGATCATCCGAGACAATCAAGCTTCAAATGCTTGTTTGACTAAAGTCAGACCTTAATGTAATTAATTGTATCTGCTTAATTTTCTTCTCAATAACACAAGGTTTGAATAGACTTCAGTATATCTGTTGGTATATAGTGTATGGAAGTCTTTCATCACTGATAATCTTCATGATGATTCGTATGGTAATTTTAACTGTATTGAGAAGGACGAAGGTGTGATTACAAAACAGCCGTATATGTACTCAATTACTGACCTTGGAAGACAAAAACTACATCACTGAATAGAAAGCGAATATTACGTAGACAGGAATAGATAATCGTTAAAAATATGCTCAGAGTCAATGGTCTACAAAAAGATATGATTTAAAAGCATACGAAAGGAAAAGACTTCAAAATTTACATAGTTTATCTGTATGATTCAAATAAAATTAAGTGAATATATACAGCAGTATGTACATAACATTTTACTCCCTGAAAATTGACAATATCATAAATTTCTATTATTTCATGGTTCTGATTGATAATTCATATTAATTTGAGTTTTTGGTGAAAATAATATTTAAACTGTTACATGGATATCAACTTAGTGACATTTTTGTTTGATGCCCAATATAATGACAGGGATGATTTTGGTATAGTTAAACATAGTCAAATTTTACATCTAAAAATATTGTTACATAAAATTCACTCTTTCAAAATTGTCACTGTTGAGTTGACTTGATAAAAGTCCTTTAACGATCTACAACAGATTGCTCAAAATTACCATTTTTAAATTCTTATTATTTATGATTAAACGATTTGACTTTCAAAACTTATAAAGTTCGGAGATCATTTCCATTATTTATATTTGGTTGTTCTATATAAAACTTGCCTATAAAATTGTATTTTTCTATCATATAAGATTGATTATAAAACTTTAGATGGCTCCTGATAATATTCAATTGTGAAACCTAAAACACTAGTTCGTTTATACTGAGTATCACACAAAATGTACAAAGTTAGTTTAAAATCAGTGATATTCAATTTATGAAATAGTTTTTAAGGATGAAAAATCTATCAGAACTAAGTCATCATGTTGACTTCGGTTTTATTCCCTTTGACTAATCGAAGCGTCGTTTCAAATGCCTAATCCACAGTCTACTTTCGGACCAATAAATACAGAGATTTTTCGGTTATATTACCCATTTGCAGTTCACACCACCCCAATCATATCTTCTCATATATCTGTTCCCAACATTCAGGCTGAGAATCTATTAAGAGTGATATTTGTGGATGTTTGGATTCCAATGTTAAGAGAATTTGTTAGTGAAGTGATTAACTCGATGTAAGTGTTTCGTTTATGTTTGAATGGTGGAAGGATTGTTCATAAGAGTATCTCATGGCATCCACTGTTAATGGAATATCAAACAATGGAATGAATTTCAATTGAATATTATACTACTTCTGTTACATTTGATCATAATACAATTCTATATTGTTGTTCTTTTCTTAATAGCATCTTATATGAGAAAACCGGAAGTATTATTTACTATACTATCGATATTGATTTTATCAATTCTTATCAATTTGGGATTCTGCATTCGATGTTTACTATTTCGTTCCTATATTGGTAAGCTATCAACTCGAAAACGAAATTGTCAATTTTTATATTTTCTATGTTAATTTATATTTCCTGGACTTTTCTTCAGAATTTATTTTTTAAGTATCATTAAATACAACTTTCCGTATACCTTAAACAAAACCTTAACTATTTCAATAGTCATCTTGATTAGTTATTCGTTTAGACCTTTATAATTACTATCACACAGTCTCAAATGGAAAAATTTGTCTATGAATTATTATTAAGATTACGTTGAATCGACGTTCTTTTCAAAAAGTCACGAAGTCTTACTTTAAATAATGACCAGTTATTTCCTATGAGTATAATTAATCACTGTGTTCAAAAACAGTGAATCTACATAATATGCAAAAATTAATCAAATTAGTCAAGAAAATCAGCAATTATAATGAAGAAACACACTTGTGCATTGGACATATTGGTCATAATAGAAAATTTATAGAACAAATGAGATAGTAATATTCGAATCGCCGTTTAATTACACCAGTAAATTTAAATCTAATGTAATTATCTGTATATGTATGCGCAGAGATAAAAACTTTAATCAGAAGTAGACCTCATCTACAGTATGATTTGAACTAGTAGGCATCAAACTACTAACACGACTCTACTAATTGGGCCACGAAACTTAACCATTAATTAAGTTTACATTTTGTTCTAACTGCTAAGTGAATTGTTTTAATCTATACTATTCTCTCTTCCTTGTATTTCGTTATTTTTCTGTACTTCAGATGCATCACAAGAAGGATCAAGTAAGACAAGTTGCCTAGCTGCTTGTCTATGTTTACCTGATGAAATGAGGAAGGGTTCACTAATTATGACAACACCAATTCTACCTCGAGCAACTATGACTCCGCATATGAATCATGTTAGAATAAATGGCTCAGACCATGGAGTGCTTAATACGTCATACAGCTTATCTGCTATACAAAAAATCCCTTTACTCTACAATGGTACATCATATAAGGAGAATTCGCCTACAAACTACATTCCGACAAATTCATTACCAGGTACTTTCAGAAAGAATGGAATGCAAAACCTAAGAAACAATAGTATACCACAACAACAATTTGGCGGATTAATGCAACCTCAAACTTTAGATATGGAGAATACCAATCTAACAACATTTCCTATGATTGACGACACAAATAAGTTTGTTAATTTCACACCGACGTACATTCGAGCTCCATCACTTAATACTCCTTCACCAAATCTGAATCGTGACGTTGTGAACAATTATGGATACTCACCACAGACTCCGGTACGTCATTTTGGACAAGGTGAAATTCACTCATTTCCACAGTATTTAATACGAATGCAGCATCCACATGTCATATACGACGATGTTGCTGGAGGAACATCAAGTATCGTGGGGTCATTGGGTCATAGCCCAAATGGTAGCATTATAGACACTACAAGTTTGCAAACTCATTTAGCTCAACTTCAAAATATCAATGTAGCGAGACAAAACAATATATTACAACCAACTAATTCAAGTTTCTCTAATCTCATGAACCTATCCCCGGACTCTAATATTCAAGGTCATTATATATCACTCCAACCCTCAATAAGTCATAAATTAGCAGATGATAAGATTACAACTTCGGTTACTTCATCAGTTCCAGTATCAGTATCTACATCAACTTCACCTAATTACTCAGGTCAAACCCAGTCAGATACATCTGTTATCCCAAGTGTTTCCTCGTCAACAACTGGAAGTTCAACTAATTCGCAACAAACAGTAACATTACAAAATTCAAATAATCAGGTTATCAAAGGTATAGAAAAAGTGACGTTGACCCAAGCTGACACACCATTAAATACTAATATATCAAATATAAATCCACCTTCGACATCTTCCCCATCAATTAGTTGACTTGTGGCAAATACGACAAACAACTGATTCTTACTCACTTGGATTTAACAATAACTAAAACATAAAAAACAACCACTCATCTTTAGTGATATTAATTGAGAAATTTTCTGTACAATACAAGCTAGATATCAAAGAATCTGATATACATCATATCGTTCAGTCTTTGCATAAGATTATTGTTATTTAAGTAAGAAACCGCGATTGTCATTAGTGTTATACAACCACGTTTTGTAGAATTCTCTTTAAGTGGACTTTAGAAACATGTTTATAGACACTACTCAGTCAGTAAGCTACAACGTAGGCCCAGGCACATATATGCATCGGTCCAAGTTGCCATACCGCATTAGCACAATAAGATGAACACCAGATTCATAGTAGTTAACTGAATGGTGTAATATATGAAGAAGATTGTATACAACGATATAGTACAGAAAAAAAGATTTAGTACGTAGAAAGGTATGAAGCAATTTTAATCTCATAGTTCAAGCGAAGACAAAGAGTGTATACACCGATGCCATTGTGATCGATTTTGAGCCATGTCACCAAGAGTCTCCAGCCATGGGTTACGATAGTCACGCGGACTCCAATCACGTAGTCTGCATCTACCAACATGACTCAGACCAGAAGTTAATGACTTTATAGACTGATGCCACGTTTTGGTTTGGTCGCCCATAACTTTCTTCCAACCATCCCCAACATCGGTTAACATTGCACGTCGTGGTAACCAGTGCCCAGACATACGCAACACGTGACCCAGCTATCTCAGTCGGTGAAGATTCACAATCTCATCAACTGATTTACCATCATTCCCTAATACCCTGCGTCTAACCCCACCATTACTTACCCGGTGATCCCAGGAATATTTCTAAGGCGATTGTGGTCAAATACTGGTGGCTTACGAATATCTTCTACTCATAAGGGCCACGTTTCGCTGCTGTAAAGTAGAACAGAACGAACTGCTTCACAGTATACTCGCCCCTTAATTGATAGATGGATATCTCACCTTCGCCATAGGTGACGTAAGTTGGCGAAAGCCAAACGAGGTTTTTGGATCCGTGTAGAGATTTCATCGGACACCAACCCATTAAGCTGACCAGACTCTAAGGTAAGTGAAGTTGTTGACATGTTCGACTGCTCCACTCCCTATCCTCAGTTCAGGTGTTGACGCAGACCAGTCCTGAAGTACTATGTATGCATCAATGAACTATATTTAAAAATAGTAAGGAAAGACACGGATCGTTTACTTAGAGTAGTATTATTTAAAAGTGTACGTAACGTATATGACTTTGTGGTGGAGAAGATACATGACGTTTAAGGATTGACCCGGTGGTTAGAGTAGCGGTTGGGTTGACAGTTTGAAGTCTGCTGCTTAGATCGCACATAGAAACGTGAATGATTAGGGATGATGCAAAAGTTAAGTCAAAGGTTTATTTCTATCACTTCTCTTTTTCTTATTCAATGACACTATGGGTTATTTTAATTATCTAATACAGGAGGTTTGAATGAATCGTGTTTATGTACATGTAATCCTCCACGTGTGCTATTGGTGACATATTCATTAACATTTAGGAATAAACTCATAACTTAAAACTAATATAGGACTGTAAACAGATAATACACTATATGGATCCATCAATAAATGTCTTCAACTGTAATAAAACACCAAATAATATTAGGGTTTTGTCCTAAGCAAATATCGTGGACTACTGAATCTTTATTTGTCTTATCAATGTCCAAATTATTTATGAACCTTACATTGGCTGAAATATTTCGTTGACAAATTATTGAGGGATGTGATACAATTTACTACTGATGCTACGAACCGATTGCGTGTATTTGTACTATTTTTTAAGTTAAAAATGAATTTTCGGTTAGTGTTCAGTGGATATAAGCATCAGCTTTAAGAGCTTTTGAAAGGCTGTTTCGTGGTCTTGAAAACATACAAACGAGAACGTCATTAGTCTGACTTTCGCATTATGTCTAGGCTCAGATTTAACTTAATGAAATGTATCTGAGAAATATTTTTTATGTACAAGAATGGACTTGTTTATGAAAAATGTTAGAAACTTGGGGAACAAAACGCATAACTATACTATTGCTAGGTTAAACTGTCTCAGGTTTACTTGTTTCCCTGCTTTGATTTCCTATAATGTTCAGAGTTGTAATCAACATAGATTCACTACAGTAAGCAATTTTATGCTTGCTGATTAATCATTCTTGAAAATCAAACAAAATTTCCTTTCTGAGCTCAGTATTTTTAGAAGCAAAAACATGAAGGATATTGTAAACTCAATCGAGTTTAAATTCCGAAGTAACAACATTAGTATTCTTGAATATCTGAAACTGAAAATTACTAGAACAGAATAAAACAATCTCATCGAACATTCCGAATAGTTTTATGAATTTGTTTTAAAAACTGATATTAAATTATGGAAGAGGATCACCCCTAAAATTATCAGATAACTATTGGATTGGTCAGAATTTAACGAGAATGATTATAATTAAATAGGCAGTATATTAAAGGCTATAATAATGATACACTGTACAAAATATATTACTTTTGTGAATACAATGTAATAAATAATAATTCAGTTCAATGATTAAACATATCGAAATATAACATCATTTTTGGATATCACAAATTGTACTTCTAGTTTCACAACACATCGAAGTATAAGAGAAAGCATTTCTTCTGTGTAACCAATGAGGAAACTAGCTTCTCCTGGAGATATTCTCTTTAATAGTAAAAAAGCTACACGTATTACATTACATTGTCGTTTGATAATAACCTTTTGGGTGTGTAGAAAATAAAGTAGTTAAAAATGAATGTGATTTACACCGAAAAACAATAAATATAAAACTCTATTATTTGTTGATAACACAAGAAATTTTAGTACAACAAGCGAATAAAATTTCATAAACATAGTTTCCTTTATTATCTTAAAGAGAGCAAGAACAAGAATACACGATATAAATGAGTATAGAAATATTACGGAGGAGTAAAGAAACGCCATATTATCAATAAATAAATGGATAAGAATTATATTTAATAATAAATAAAATTAGTTTGGAAATACAGTCAAAATGGATATCTTTCAATTAATGAAATTTACTGAAGTTTTATGATGAATCCATTAAAAACCGTAGAAGGATATCTACTTCCTTTTAGTATGTTATATCTGACAACACCTAAAGATACTGCTTCGCTTGATCTTTAGGAACCCTACCTGGAAATCGTAATGGATTAGCAGTTACCAACCCACAAAAGCTTTTTGCCTCCTATAGACGTCAATTATCAGTTTAGGGTTGTGGAGATTATCAAGTTTTCTGATTGAGATCATGAACCGATCGATATTAGATCACTATTGGAAACTTGGAAGCACTGGACGGCCGTTTCGTTCTATTGTGAAACTCCTCAACAGTGCACATACAGGATCCTGTTAGCGGGAGTCGTTCGCGCGAGACTGAAGGCCCTGGATTCGAATTGATTATTGGCGATAACATTTAGTTATGAAAATAAATGCTTCCAGGGTTATTAATTATCAAATACGCGGTACATAGGCTGTGACGCATAAATGTACGACATAAATTACCGGTAGAATGCTGTAATCAGCTCTTGAATGGCCTACCCTCAAAAAATCACTGAACCGTAGTCACGTAAGGACTCATCATAATTAAACAACTTATTATTATCATCTCTTATATTTTAAGTCGTTCACATCTAAAAGACAAAATGTTATGGATTTCAAAGTGTTGGGTAACAATACTTCATTATTTCGATACATAGGAGGACTGGTCGTAAAAAGGAACTCTGATTTTAGCCGAGATAATTATCTGAACACAGTTTGATGAAAATATTCAGAGACAGTTTGTGAGGGTTTAGTTAATTCGAAGATAACTTTTGCCACTGACTGAAATCACTTGAAAAATATGTAAAAAAGGGGGATCAGTCAACAGATATTACACACTAGTTCGAAACTCAAATGATACGTAACCTTGAATACATACATACATACGACTTACTACTCTTCAATTATACCAAGTTTATTAATCACAGTCTCTGACAATCACAGTCACTCTTTGGCTTGATCTTGTACAAATGTCATTTTTATTTTATGGTGTGTTGTGGTCTGGTTGGCTCTATATAAACCAAGAATGTTTGAAATAGATTATTCGTACAGTGGAAGCTGATATTAGTGTTCTGGACCCAACAGGCAAGGCTAGGCAGGAAAAGTCCATTACAGACTCTAGGCCACTCATATCGGTCAAGACGTCATTGGTTTGTCACAGTGCTAAGATTGTATAAGTCGCATGTCGATTGGTAATTAAATCACGTGATATTTAATAGAGCTAAAAGTCCCGACAGTAACCTGTGCAGCTGGTTAGTTATAGAATGAAAACGGGTGTTGCTCGATCGCATCAGGTGGTGGTAGCACTGTATCGTAAATCAAATGATATTAAAATGGGGATCCAAGGTTTTTAACTCAGTGATTGAATCATGATGTACTACCACGAGAACCAATGCTCCTGAGTTACGTCTGTACAAAATCGAGAGTATGAGCTAAAACAAATATCAGATGACTTTTTTACTGAATTTTTACATTCTAATCTGAGGTGAACAGAACTTTCAAAATCTGAATTTTCATATACTAAACGAAGTTATGCATTGAAACAAGATTTAGCATCAATATAAGGGTGCAGTGTGAAAAAGTTATATAATTGCGTACAACTAAATAAACATACTTCACTTTGAACCAACAAAGGAAAAGTTCCATTAATAAATGTTCGAATGAACTGGTCATGAAGGGTAACTTCCGAAGTGTAACGGTCTTCTCCTTCCAAATTTGAAGTATTCCAAGAATTCCAAGACTTCATTAAACCAATTTGATGTGGCTTTTTTGACTGCTCATAGGTGAGGGGGTGGGATTGATCTCTAGTTCGACGTACCACCCCAGCACGAGTGTTCTTGCAAATCGTGTTTCCTGTGTGTATTTTTTGACTGACGACGTACGTATCAGATATCGCACGTTCACAATTACGTAGCCGTGCAAACATCATGAAGAAAAAGTTTGCAACTAAAATAAGCTAAGCAGAGTGGAAACGGATAATTAAGAAGCTATCCAAAAACTATCTGAGTGATCAATTTCGAAGTTAGTATTGATGATTGGGTACTCTACAAAGTTGCCTGAAAGAAAAAGTAAATGACTTGACAGCAAGGTCTAAATCTATAACTATTATTATATACTCTAATGGAAGCAATAAACAAGGCGTTTTAAAATGGCGAACAACGTAAGACAAGGTATTTCATATACTCAACCACACTCTAGAATGATAAAGTCCCTGATGTCAGCAGCTATTTTAAATTTCTAACAATTATAGGCTTTATAAGCTTATACGATCAACAGCTTATTTAGTAATCTCAGAGAGGAACCTTGGTTGTAATACTTTTGCTTTCATACATTATACGTCTAGGGACTCGATGGTTTTTAATAATTTTCTAGGGTATAGGAAAGAAAACCTAATTATATGTAGTAATAATTAAGCGCTTTTTCAGTGGCTTCTTTTAAAAAATATATTTTAAGTTGTACATTTGACAGGATATGAGAAATGGTTTGAGAAACTAAGGCAAATGTCTTAAGTTTGTCGGGTATGCGATTGTTTTAAAACCAAATGATGCCAAAACCGTTATGATTCAAACAATAAGACACCAGGATGGATTTTATGTTAGTATTTATTACCAGAAAAACAAATGACCCGAGCTTGAATACACAGGTTGTTTATGAGAAATGAGTTAATGTTAGGTACTAACCCCATTTTCGTTTGAAATTATCAAAGGTATCCTTCTGGAAGGTCAGTCAGTCAGTAACAACGTGGAACTTCGTGCGCACGTACATCAGTTCGAGTTGCCACACCACATTAGCACAGAGATTCAGTTATCGATTCAAATCCCATAGTGGTAGAGGTACTGAAAGTATAAGTAGTGATGGGGAACATGAGGGTTTGATGATGTTATTTAAAGAGTATAATCCAGTGGAATAGATTTGGAAAGAAAATAAAGGACATGAAGAATTCAGAAGATTAGAGTTTGAGAGAACACAGAAAGTGGATGCACCTGCGCCATTGCAAACGATTTTGAGCCATGTCATTCAAGGTCTCTAACCATCGGTTGCTATCATCTCGTGGTCCCCAACCAGGTAGTCTACACCTACCAACATGACTCAGTCCACTTGCCAGTGACTTCATGGATTTGTGCCATGTTTTGGTCTGGCCGCCCCTAGCTTTCTTCCAACCTACTCCTACACCGTAACACATAGCACGTCGGGGCAGTCGGTGGTCGGGCATGCGCAACACATGTCCCAGCCATCTCAACTGATTAGGTTTCACTACTTCATCAATTGATTTGCCATCCTTACCTAGTACCCGTTTCCTAACAACTGCATTAGTTACTCGGTGGTCCCAGGATATACGAGCAATGTTTCGAAGACACCTATGATCAAATACTAGTAACCTACGAATATCCTCTACTCTTACTGGCCATGTTTCACTGCCATAAAGTAGGACGGAACGAACCGCTGCGCAGTAAACACGTCCTTTGGTTGATATACGGATATCTCGCCTACGCCACAAATGACGCAATTTGGCAAAAGCTAGTCGAGCCTTCTGTATCCGTACTGAGATTTCGTCACACACCAGACCACAAGGGCTGATGAGACTTCCGAGATAAGTGAAGCGGTCGACACGCTCAACTACTTCACTCCCTATCACTAGTTCGGGTGTCGACGCAACCCAATCCTGAAGCAACATTTTGCATTTCGAGGGAGAAAATCGCATGCCGAACATGCCTGCATTGTTGCTTAGAGTGGTCAGCAGACTGCATTTTGTCAGCGTCTTCACCAAATAGAACTATGTCATCGGCATATTCTAAGTCAACAAGTGGATCTCCCGGTAGAATTTCAACTCCTAGAAATTTAGATGAGGAAAGTGTCATCTCTAAAAGGACGTCAACAACAAAGTTAAACAAGAATCGAGAGAGTGGACAGCCCTGACGAACACCACTTGAGGTAATCAGTTCTGATGACAGTTCGCCATAAGCTCTCACTCGACCAGTTGTGTTCGAGTAGAGAGCCTTTATAAGGTTGATGTACTTCTTTGGTAATCCTTTCAGTGACAAACACTGCCATAGAACCTCACGATCAACAGAGTCAAATGCCGCCTTAAGGTCGAGAAATACTACCATTGTGGGGCGTCTGAATGTGTGTCTATGTTCTGGGATCTGACGTAATGTGAATATTTGATCAATACAACCACGTCCAGGTCGAAAACCAGCCTGGTTTTCTCTAGTCTGCTCTTCACGAGCTTTGGTTAGACGTCGAAGTATTACTGAAGCTAATATTTTAGACACTATATTAGTCAAACTAATTCCTCTGTGATTGTCACAAGAAGACTTTTGTCCTTTCTTATAGACTGGCACAATCAGTGATTGGAACAGTCAGATGGGATTACATCCAGTTCCCAGATTCTACCTAAGACCTCAGTCAATCTCGCTGCTAATACTGGACCACCATCCTTAAAAATCTCAGGGGTAAACCTGTCAGGGCCTGGTGCTCTCCCACGCTATAGATTACCTATGGCTTTTTCAACTTCGTAATACCGGTTTCCTTAACAAGTCTGAACAGTTGCCTGCTGTTACCTATTGCCGCTGCCTTTTCCATCTCTCTTGCTTTTGCTACCCACCACTGTTCACGATCATTGCAGAGGCTTCTAGTCAGCTTACGCTTAAGCTGACTCCGCTCTTCGTTATGTTCAGAGCCAGATGGAATGAGTTTTTGAGCATCTATCAGTGCGGTAGACGCTGCTGAGATCCAGTGTTTCTCCCTAACCTTATGGTTTACCGTACATGCAGACATCACTGCTGTTTCTACAGCTTCTCGGATGTCATTCCACGCTGCCTCGGGGTGGGCGTCACTTACATGGCTGCCTAACTGTTTTTCTAGTTGCTCCAGAAATATACTCTTAGTTTGACTATCATTAAGTAGGACCCTAAGGGATTTCTTTGTACCATCTTTCCTACGTCTAGTAAGACGTAGACAAATACGCGTTCGCACCAGAGCATGATCTGAGTCTAAGCATGTGCCCCAGAATGAGCAACAGTCTTCCATCAAGCCCCTGAGATTTTTAAGGATGGTGGTCCAGTATTAGCAGCGAGATTGACTGAGGTCTTAGGTAGAATCTGGGAACTGGATGTAATCCCATCTGACTGTTCCAATCACTGATTGTGCCAGTCTATAAGAAAGGACAAAAGTCTTCTTGTGACAATCACAGAGGAATTAGTTTGACTAATATAGTGTCTAAAATATTAGCTTCAGTAATGCTTCGACGTCTAACCAAAGCTCGTGAAGAGCAGACTAGAGAAAACCAGGCTGGTTTTCGACCTGGACGTGGTTGTATTGATCAAATATTCACATTACGTCAGATCCCAGAACATAGACACACATTCAGACGCCCCACAATGGTAGTATTTCTCGACCTTAAGGCGGCATTTGACTCTGTTGATCGTGAGGTTCTATGGCAGTGTTTGTCACTGAAAGGATTACCAAAGAAGTACATCAACCTTATAAAGGCTCTCTACTCGAACACAACTGGTCGAGTGAGAGCTTATGGCGAACTGTCATCAGAACTGATTACCTCAAGTGGTGTTCGTCAGGGCTGTCCACTCTCTCGATTCTTGTTTAACTTTGTTGTTGACGTCCTTTTAGAGATGACACTTTCCTCATCTAAATTTCTAGGAGTTGAAATTCTACCGGGAGATCCACTTGTTGACTTAGAATATGCCAATGACATAGTTCTATTTGGTGAAGACGCTGACAAAATGCAGAGTCTGCTGACCACTCTAAGCAACAATGCAGGCATGTTCGGCATGCGATTTTCTCCCTCGAAATGCAAAATGTTGCTTCAGGATTGGGTTGCGTCGACACCCGAACTAGTGATAGGGAGTGAAGTAGTTGAGCGTGTCGACCGCTTCACTTATCTCGGAAGTCTCATCAGCCCTTGTGGTCTGGTGTGTGACGAAATCTCAGTACGGATACAGAAGGCTCGACTAACTTTTGCCAACTTGCGTCATTTGTGGCGTAGGCGAGATATCCGTCTATCAAACCAAAGGACGTGTTTACTGCGCAGCAGTTCGTTCCGTCCTACTTTATGGCAGTGAAACATGGCCAGTAAGAGTAGAGGATATTCGTAGGTTACTAGTATTTGATCATAGGTGTCTTCGAAACATTGCTCGTATATCCTGGGACCACCGAGTAACTAATGCAGTTGTTAGGAAACGGGTACTAGGTAAGGATGGCAAATCAATTGATGAAGTAGTGAAACCTAATCAGTTGAGATGGCTGGGACATGTGTTGCGCATGCCCGACCACCGACTGCCCCGACGTGCTATGTGTTACGGTGTAGGAGTAGGTTGGAAGAAAGCTAGGGGCGGCCAGACCAAAACATGGCACAAATCCATGAAGTCACTGGCAAGTGGACTGAGTCATGTTGGTAGGTGTAGACTACCTGGTTGGGGACCACGAGATGATAGCAACCGATGGTTAGAGACCTTGAATGACATGGCTCAAAATCGTTTGCAATGGCGCAGGTGCATCCACTTTCTGTGTTCTCTCAAACTCTAATCTTCTGAATTCTTCATGTCCTTTATTTTTTTTCCAAATCTATTCCACTGGATTATACTCTTTAAATAACATCATCAAACCCTCATGTTCCCCATCACTACTTATACTTTCAGTACCTCTACCACTATGGGATTTGAATCGATAACTGAATCTCTGTGCTAATGTGGTGTGGCAACTCGAACTGATGTACGTGCGCACGAAGTTCCACGTTGTTACTGACTGACTGACAATTAGAGTACAGCTTTTCAGATTGATCTCGTACGACGAAACAAACTCAACGATCTTGAATAAATAAATGACACAATCTGGTTTGAAGTCTTGCGCACTTTGACGTGTTTCTCTGTTCCTAAATGCGCAGCGGGTTTGTATCAGTACCTAAACTGCTCACAGGGAACGAGGCGGTCAAAAGCACCGACCAACTCACCTATATTGGTAGTCACATCAGGGGATTGGCACCCGATGAAATCTTACGAAGGATTAAGAAGACTGAATGGCTTCGCTAACTTGTGACGCAT